TCCATTGGTTAGGATTGTATACATGCATACAAGTCCTTTGGCTGATCTCTACCCCTTAACCCCCCCCTCCCCTACCTTCCTTCTGAGGTTTGAAGGAGTGATCAATGCTTCTCTGTCTCTGGATCTGTTTTTGTTCATCAGTTTATGTTGTTCATTATATTCCACAAATGAGTGAGATCATGTGATATTTATCTTTCTCTGACTGGCTTATTTTGCTTAGCATAATATTCTCCAGTTCCACCCAGGCTGTTGCAAATGGTAAGAGTTCTTTCTTTTTTTCAGCAGTGTAGTATTCCATTGTAGATGTACCATGGTTTTTTAATCCACTCACCTTCTGATGAGCACTTAGGTTGTTTCCAAATCTTAGTTATTCCTCACTTCTTTTGACCCCCCTTTTTTTCTTGCTTTATTTTCTTTATAGCATTAATCCTGAAACTAACATATAAGGTTGAGCCATATAAAATTGCCTATATTCAGTAACTTTTGATCTCCCCAAAAGGCAATTTCAGATCATCCAAATTAATATATATTTTAATTATTAACCTTTGTTTTCTGCCTGTCCTCATTAAAATGCCAGCTTCTGAGAGAAGATGGTTTTGTCTGCTATATTATCTGCACCCATAGAACTTTACCTGCACATAGCAGGTGCTCAGTAAACATTTGTTGGGTGATTCTTTTTAAATAACCTACTTTCCTCTTTAATGTATCAGAGTTATCTTTCCATCACCATTTGAATTGGTCTCTCTTATCCCTTCTAATTGGTTTCTCTTGTCCCATACCACCTGTTTGTCCTCGGTGGTATGACCTTTAAGTCTCTGAGAGCACCTTTAAATCACCAAATAAACACTCTACCAGCACTCCAAGGTGGCTCTGCAGGTAATGGGTACAGATTTAATGTCAGGCAGCCTAGATTGAAACGACTTGCCAAGTCATTGTGGCCATGCTACTTAACCTCGTTGGTCCTCAGTTTTCCCATGTGTAAGACAGAGAAAATACCCCCGGACTCACACCTGGAGGGTTGGGGAATGGTAAAGTTCCTGGTGTAGTGTGTGCTGAATCAACTGCTCATATTTCTGTTTGTAAAGATTTAGAGCAGCAAACATTTTAAAATTGTATGTACGTTAAAAAAAATTATATGTGTATTTCCAAAAACACTTGCTAGGCTTATCTTCGTGAGTCAGCTTTCTTTTAGAGGTATCCAAGAATAAATCACCCATGCCACCCACAACTGGTCACACAACTGATATCTCTTATTTCGCTTTCTGAGATTGTCATCATTTTGTCCTACCTTCTCCCACCCTGAGTCACACTTTTAAAAAACTACTCTGTTCACAGCTTAGGTTGCGCTGTTCTCCCCACTTGATCCCCCACGACAGTTGCTTGGTTTTCATGTATGAGCCATGGTGATTTATTACCATAATTATTACCATATACAAAAATATCATTATTACCATATACAAAAATATCACTCAGGGTGATTTCTAAAAAGCAAGTAAAGTAGGAGGTTCTCATTATACTCAGGCCTCATGTGGGAATTCTATCAGTTAGCTATAGCTGCATGACCAATGTCTCCCAAAATATAGTATCTTAGAAAAATAAGACTTGTTTATATGAGTCTGTGGGTCAGTTGGGTGGTTTTTCTGGTCTGGGCCAGCTATGCCTGATTTCAGCTGGACTCTTAGATCTGAGATCACCTGATGGGTTCGCTGGTCTAGGAAGGCCTCCTAACATGGATGGAGGTTGGGTGGCTACCGGCCAAGGCAATGGGCACATCTTGGTCATGCGCCTCTCATCTTCCTGGAAGGTAGCCCAGGTTTGCTCACATGGTGGTCAGGAGAGCAAGAGAAGCCTAGGCTCGCAGATGTCACAATGTCACATCTGCCCCAGCTCCCACTGACTGCTGCAGAGTGCTAACCTTCCTCAGGCTGGAGACCCTGCAGTGACTGGCTTCTCAAACGGAGCCAGCTACCAGCTCACACTCAGCTTCTATCTGGGGCAATGGGAGGAGGCTTCTTACTCTACAGACTCCAGCCTACCCCTTACCTGTTCCTTCAGGGTCCCACAACTGGCTCTTTCTGGGCCAATTGCGTTTGTCTTCCCCCTTGAAGCTCCTTCTCTCTCCTCTATCAGCCTTCTTCCCCTCCTACTTCTCCACCCTCTGCTTATTCAACCCTGACCTTCCCCTTTTAACACCAAGCTGAAATATCACCTCTTCCTAAGAGCCTTCCTTGACCACTCTCACCCATAGCCAGCTCTCCTTTATAGACATACCAATACACAATCTGTGCCACACATTTTAATACCTAGGTGTTTAGAGCTACCCTTGTAGGAAGCTCTTAGCAGGTGCCAAGAATTTTAATCTTCCTAATGCTTGAGTAGATACTCTTATCATTATCATTTTACACTTGGGCAGCTGAGCCCACAGGGTGACTTTCGAAAGGTCTTAGATTGGGTGGTAAGGGGTGGATCTGTTTTCTAAGCCAAGCTTGTCCTGCTCCAAAACCCAGTGTGGCAGAAGCTGTGGGCACCCTGCTCGCCATGTGCCCTCACTCTTTCCCCTTCAATGCATGCGGCTGGCCTGGCTTCCAGCTGCCAGTGCCTGATTTCTCTGCCTGACTGCTTTCTCAATGAGTTTCATTTTACCCACGTGGCAGGCTCAAGAGCTGAAGGATTAACTTCCTATAGGAGCAGCGCTCCACAAATGACTGATAAGAGTGGTGTTTAGATACCCCAGGGTGGGGTCACTAAATGCCTGTCTACACTGGCTCCTGGAGTTCCCGGCAACACTGAGGTCCAGTTGCTCACAGTGATAAGAGTAATGGCACACTTTTATCAGCTGTTTTGCCCTCCCAGCCACATTCCTCCCTCCCCTACCAGCATTTCCTGGGAGCACTCCTGAATAAGCTATGACCCCTCAGACCATATCTCAGGGTCTGCTTCAGGGTGGGGGGCTCAAACTAAGATACACCTCCTAACACCTTGGCTTTTTGCCCTCTCTTTTCCAAATCGTCTCTGATTAAGTTCTAAGCTCCTTGAAGCTAGAGGAACTCATACTTCTCTTGCTTTTTTCATAGCCCTCCTCAGAACCTTAGACACCCCATAAATTCAAATCAAAATCACTTATTGATTCATGAATATTTTCAGACTACAGATATTGAGCCAAGAGTCAACATCTGGTCCCCCCTTCCTTGCAGACAGCTCAGCTCCTGTTTATGATGCTGGTCAAATCCGTGACAATTTAAATATTCTCAGGCACCAACTCTTTCCCAAATCATTGAAACAGCTGCCCTGCAGAGTAGAAGATGAGCCTTAGACTGAGTGGAGGGCACAATGCAAGCCCACTCCTCCTGAGTGTCCTTGAAAATGCTTTTGGGGCTCCATGGGCTAATGTGACCCTAACAAGATCCCAATAAAATCTGAAATAATCTGATTTTCATTAATTATCCTTTTCTAATCACCCATTAAGAAGTGTGTCTCTTGTCCTAGCTGATTTGGCTCAGTGGATAGAGCGTCAGCCTGTGGACTGAAGGGTCCCAGGTTCGATTCCAATCAAGGGCATATGCCCAGGTTGTGGGCTGATTTCCAGTAGGAGGCATGCAGGAGGCAGTTGATCAATGATTCTCTCTCATCATTGATGTTTCTATCTCTCTCTGTCCATTCTTCTTTGAAATCAATAAAAAATCTTTTTTTTTTTTTTAAAGAGTGTGTCATACAGTGTTCAGTACTTGCATGTGGGACAGAACTAGATTGGAGAAGCTGATAGCTGGGCTCTCTTCCAACTCGCAGCTGTGAATTCTCTCCTGAGTGCCACATGATGACCAAGCTCTGAGGAGGCTCGGCTCGAGGAGATTTGAAGAACAGGGACAGTGTTCCTGCTATGCATCATGGTCCTATTAGTACCTAAACAGGTACTATTTCAGTTCATTCGCCTTGCAAGGCAGAGTAATTGCCTTATTGCCCCTCCCCCTTTACAGGTGAGGAAACTGAGGCTTAGCAGCATTGAGTCAACTCATCCAGGATAATGAGGCACTGGCTGTAGCTCTTTTCTTGGTGTTAACAGAGACAGGGTAGAGCAAGGGGAAATGTGCCTCAGAACTGGCACACTGTCATTTCAGGCTTGTGACACTGGCCAAGTCTACATTTGGGAGTTTCTCTGCCTCTAGTGGAACTGCAAAATCTTACCACAAAGGTGGGGCATACAGGGAGAATTGAAGAATTGAAGCAATAACTTTATCTACGAAGACAAAAATTGACACAAGGGAGTGAATAGCTGATGGGAAACATTACCAGTGTCTTTGAGGGAGATTCTGGGGAATCAGGTATGTGAAAATAGAGTGAGGGACAAAGTTATTTCCCTCTCTTCTTTCCCTACAGCCAACCAGTTTATCTTAGAAATGGAGTGACTTCCAGTCCCATGGCGATTTTAGTGGAGAATTGCTTTGTGCAGGAGGGAGCAGGGCAAGATTCTGGATGGTCAGAACCTGAGCTCTCAGTAGACAGAGCTATTCAAATCTTTGGGCCAACCAATTGTCTCACCTGGAATCCTTCTCATTGGACTCTTTTTTGGGAAGAGCTAAAGAAGCAAAGCTGGCGAGTTAAAAAGACCGTAATAGAATCATCCCAGTCATATTATAAATTTAGGAAATATAACAGCCATGAAGCATTCTGGGAAAAAATAATGACCTTAATTGAGTATTGGTGTCCTGATATATTTCCACTTTTTATGAGTTCAGAAGATTCCTTTCCCCTTTGGAGTTAGGTATGACCATGTGACTTGATCAATGAAATAAAAACATAAGTGGAGGGATCATTTTGGGCAGAGGCTTTGAAAGACAGTATGTAATCCACCATGGCTCCCTCCCACAGAATGGTACTCATACAAACACACACTGAGAAAGAATCTCCATCAACTTAAGTCTCAGAGTTACTACAACAGACAGCGCTCACATGATAGTATCTGAACATGAAGCTGAGACAGAAATCAACTTGTTGGCTAATTCTTGACCCTCAGGAGCTACGTGAGATAAACTTATTATTTCAGCTACTGTGCTTAGGGTTTATTTGTTATGCAGCAATAGATAACTAATACACTGACAAAATGTAATTCTCATTTTTAAGCAAGATCGTCATCCTTTTATACAAAATATATGCTGAGATGTTTGTCAGGATGTAAGGGGAATAATGGTCACTTCTAGGTTGTGGTCTTTGGGTCATTTTCTTGTGTTTATCCTTTTTATATATTCATGAATCAATTTTTTTGTAACAAGCATGTATCATTAAAGTTAAAAGCAAAAATAATGACTCTGAGCCTGGGCCTAGGTACAGAACGTGTCATTACACAGGCGGCTGAGCAAGGGGGTGTATTCATAGGAAGCAGGAGCACCACTCCTTCAGGCAGTTAGTGCTCTCCTGTGCCTCACACTCCGTGGCACCACAGCAACAAATGAGCCACCTCTGAAACTCCATTTCGTTCTTGTGCATCAGAAGAAACTGTCCCAGGAGGGTGTAGGCCTGTGGAGAGGGGATGGGGCCAGGAGAAAAATGGGAAAGGTTTAATAAACTTGATCAGATGTGCTCTTCCTCCTCCAGCATGAGGAGGGAAGGGCAGGTCACATTTGAGGGAGACTGGTGGTTCCCGAAATCCCGAGTGGGCGATGGGGATTTGGGGACAGGCCCTTGGTGAGAGGTAAGGCCAAGGTAAATGTCCATCCCTCAGGGCAGGGTTGGAGGCTGTCTGGTCTGGGATGAACCAGAGCCTGTCCTTCTCAGCTTCATGAATCATGAGCACATGAATCACATGGACTCTTGTTAAAAGGCAGGTGCTGTCTTAGTAAGTCTGGGGTTGGGACCTGAGAGCCTGCATTTCTAACACTCCTGGCTGATGGTTGTCCAAGGACAACATTTTGAGTAGCAAGAGCCTAGCATTCCTCTTACGCTCCCTTTTGGTCTCTGAGCTCATATTTCTCTCCTACACACACACACACACACACACACACACACACACACGCGTGCGCGCGGTGTTAGAGATGCTCTTTACTCTGCTACTTTCTCAATTATTCTAGCAAAGGGTTTCTAGCCATTGGAACTGTTGATATACTGTATAAGTGTCTGTTGGAAGGGTGTCCTGTGCAGTGTCCCTGGCCTCCACCAACTAGACGCCAGGAGCACACACCCATTCCCCTGAATTGTGACACTCACAACCATCTCTAGACATTACCAAGTGTACCTTTGGGGGAAAATATCTCCCTAGATTTAAAGCCACTACACATGGGACTAGCAGCTGAAGGGCATCTTAGCATCAATTTGCTTCTGCGTGAGAACCCACGGAACCTGGGCCTCAATTTCTGCATCTTTGAAGGCACGTAGTAGACCCTGCCCCATCCTACAAATGGAATTGAGTGAGTTCAATGTGAGAGCATTTGAATAGCATAAATTCCTTTTTCCTGCTGGAGGCACAGCCCTGGGGGTGGAGCAGAAAGCACAAAACACACCCATCTTTCCTTTCTGAAGAGTCTCTGAGGATGAAAAACACATGTAAAATAAAGATTCCAGGATTCCTAGTCTATGCCATTCCTAGTTTTCTAACTACTTCCCCCCACAATGTTTCATTTATTTATTTTTCCCACTTTAATCACACTCTGACTGATGAGGAGCAAGGAGCACGTGGAGAGAGGGGCTTCCAAGACCATATAACCACTCTGGCCAATTTTGCTCAGTGGTTAGAACATCAACCTGCAGGCCGAAGGGTCACTTCTCTCTCTTGTTCTCTCCCTGCCCCCTCCTATCTCCTTTCACTCTGTCAGAAAATCAATAGGAAAAATATCCTTGGGTGAGGGTAAAAAAAGAAAAAGAAAGGCCATATGGCCACAGGTTGGCCCAGCCCCCAAACAATGAAGCCTGTTAAGTGCCCACCTCTGGGAGTGGCTTTGAGGCTCTCCAGCCTGGAATGGAGGAGAACCAGTGTCCACCCCTTGAGTCCTGGGACCTCTCCAGGAAAACCCCTGGCCTCTGTTTACAGTTCCGTAAAACAAAGTCAACTTCATCTTGACAAAAAGGAATGTATTTTTCAAAAAGAAATGAAATAAAAGCTGAATCCCAGTCGTAAAACATGCCCAAGCATCAGAGTTTGGGCTTTTTACTTTGAGTCATAGTCCAGTTGTTGAAAAGAGAAAAGGCCAGGATTTTATGGACATTTAAAACTGCTATTTGATATCATCCTAAAAAGCAGTTATAGTTGCTTAGAATGATATCATTTTACTTTATAAGGATTCTTGAATGTTCAGTGGAGGATTTTACTGAATTTGTTTGTTTGTTTGTTTGAAATATATTTTTATTGATTTTTTACAGAGAGGGATAGAGAGCTAGAAACATCGATGAGAGAGAATCATTGATCAGCTGCCTCTTGCACACCCCCTACTGGGGATGTGCCCACAACCAAGGTACATGCCCTTGACCGGAATCGAACCCTGGACCTTTCAGTCCGCAGGCCAATGCTCTATCCACTGAGTCAAACCGGTTTCAGCACTGAGATGTTTTTTAATTGAACATTTTTTTTAAAAATTAAAATTTATTGAATTTAGTTAGTTGAGCCAATTGCTGTAGTGGGTGTAGGAGGTACAGATGTGAATATAATAGGATCAAGAAACAGAGTTTTGTCCAAGGAGAGGGAACCTTGATGATGATGATGATGATAGTAAGTGGCACTTCTGAGTACCTTTGGTTGAGCTCCAGGCCTCAGGCACACATTAATTCCTCTGATTTCCCCATGTGGCCCTTCCCATTCTCCAGATAGAATCACTGAGAATCAAAATGTTACGACTCCTGTTTTCCTCAGTCCCATATTTGCACACCCCAACTGTCCACAGTCTGGCCTGGCATCTATGGAGTCCTCTGCCATTTTGAAAGCTGCGCTGCGAGCATTCACCAGGGAGGTAATCGGAGCCGCCATGTCCCCAGCAGGTTCAGCAGCCAGAAAGCCAGGGAATGCATGGTACGCAAGGCCAGAGGCAAACTTTCCAGGAATGCTGCAGGAAGAAGGGCCTCGTCTTGCAGCCTCCAGAGCCAAGTTGCAACCTGACGCTCCCTTCTCCATTTTCTCTCTCGTTCCACCCTGCTACCTTCCATCACTGGGGAGGGAGAGTTAGCTTACTCCACCCTGCTCCCAAGGGAAGCCAGAGTTGTGTACTCCTATCATGGCTCTGCCAGAAGCCTGCTCAGCCCCTCTCCTGGCTCCAGCAACTCAGCCCCTAACCCTGGAGAAGAGAAACTGCCCTACTCCCTCCTTGGGCCAAAGTTCAGGAAAATCTAGCTGAAGGAATGATGACGTAGAGACAGAAATCCTGAGCAGACAGCCCCACACTCCTACGACCTGGACAGTGGCCACCTTGAAGCCAAGGATGTTCATTCTTTCCTGTGACAGCCATGACCATGTGGCAGGATGGTGGCCCACGGGCACACTTTCCCTCAACTCCAAGTCCGAACAGTGAGCAGGTCTGGACCTCCCCCTCCGGTTTGCCAATTGATTGCTAAACAGAAGTGATATTTGTGTCTGCAATGGGGTTGGGTTCCCTTGTGTGTGATCCAGGCATTCACATGAGGCCCTGGGTTTCAGGGCTTTGGTGTCTTGGGAGAGTGCGCATGGCTCAGGGCTCAGGGCTCAGGGCAGCCTCGTGGTCTGCATCCCAGCAGGCCCTCAGGGAGGGTGCAGAAAGAACCAGCACCCACGAAACAAGGGCAAGAGAGCTGTTACCACTGCAGCCCGACTCTGAGTAGCAAGTTCTTGGATGCCTGAGAATTTCTCAGTCACCCTTTTCCTTGTCTTAAACGTCCCTGTCACCCACCTGCAATTCTCATTAAAAACACAGTGAAGCTGGAAAAGGCAAAACTACGGGGATAGAAAACAAACAAGTCAGTGGTGGCCAGGGCCTGAAGGTGGGGACTATGAAGACCATGGGGCACATTTCTGAGTGACAGAATTGTTTTATGTCTTGACTGTGATAGTAGCTACATGAGTGCATGCACCTGTCAAAACTTGCAGAACTGAGTACTAAAAAGGTGACATTTACTATATGTAAATAAAATTATTTTTTAAACTGGTGACTATGGCTGACCAACAACAAAACCTCACCATTATGGAAACATTACATCAATGGTGGTAGTAGCCAGAATACTGGTTATGTCTTTATGGGAGGGAGGGATGGCATTGATCTGGAAGAGGCACAAGAGAACCATCTGTAATTCTGAAAGCATCTAACCATTGGGTCCAGGCAATGGGTCCATGGATGTATAAATATCTGTCAAAAATTCATTGAGCTGAACTCTGCATATCAATGGAAGTATGCTACACCACAATAGAAGAGTAAGAGGGACAATCATTTCTTTCTTAAAAGAATGTTTAATTTAACATGTCTCTCCTAGTCAGACTTGCCTACTCTATTACATGCTGGGGAGTGGTGTTATCTCCTTTATCTGAGAGGAAAGAGTCAAATGTACCTCAGTGGTGAAGCTTCAACTTCCTAACTATACCACCTATTGGATACTAAATTGGCTGCTAGCTTGGGGTGTTAAGAGTATTTAACATCTGGTGCAAAGCAGCGTGCCCATCAGAAAACCACAGGCCCAGTAGCTCAGACAACCTCCTGGAAACAGCTGCACACAGTACGTGTGCGAACCAAACTGCTTGTCAGCTGTGCACGCAGCAGTTCCCAGCCTCCATGGGTGTCTCTGCCCTACCCTGCCTGGTGGTGGAGACTGATGTTGAAAACTGAAGGGAGTAAGCGGCACTTCAGTTTGTCGGTGGTGCCTTGCGCGACAAAGCGTGCAAGGCTCTGTGTGAATTCCTGCCCACCTCTGTGTGTGCTCACTTTCTTTCCTGTCCTAAAGTTCCATGCAGCCTTATAATAGCACCATAGAAACAATTACTAGTATACAGACAAGAATGTTCAGATTCCATCAGCTATCCCTAAGCCCATTCTTGGGTTGTGAGTGACATCTTTGAACAACTCACGTCCTCTTACTCTGGTGTTGACCCTCGGCTGCTGTTATTCCGCCTGCCATCCCCAGGCTGGTGCCCTGATGGAGCCAGGGAGACTCTGCAGGTCTCTTCAGGGATGTGGGGAGTGCATCCAAACCACCCATCCTAACAGCTCAGCCCCAGACTCGGGTGGCTGGCTCACTTCTGTGAACCGCCTGGGTGTTTGAACATCAGATGAATCATGCCTGGCTCAGCTGCTCTAAGCCAAAGAGATCCAATTTTCCCATCACCCACTGGTCCTTGAGGCTGCTCAAGCGTGTGGGTGGGGTCTGTAGCACAGAAGCATGTGGTGCCCTGCCAAGTGGCAGCTTTGCTCTCTCATGGCCACTTATAGGCACATGTGGCAGTGGCTGCCACCTGGCAGGACTAAGGGAAGAGAAGTTGGGGAAATAAGGAAAAAGGAATTACCTTGTTGAAACCTTTGGTGACCAAATTGATTGCAAGTTCATGGCTGATCCCATCTACACAGACAACATCCTTTTCTCCAATGGGTTCAGAGAGGAAAGCTCTCAACCTGGGAGACATGTGATTCATTCTCTGCAACAGTAGTGAAGGAAAACCGTTAAGAAGTGGCTGACTGCTCACAGTGTGAGTAGACATTGGGGAACTCCCTTAGCTTACCAAGAGACAGGGAGGGACAGATGGCAGGCTACCTTTCACCTTCCAAATTTATTGGGGCTTTTAGATCTCAGGTGCCATGCCTAGCACTGAAGGCCTTTGCACATCCATTTCCAACTGGATGGACTAGGGGCTAATGATGGCCGTAGATGAGTTCAATAAAACCCCACAAAAAGGATGTGCTTGAAACTAAGACCTGCTTAAATGCTTAAACAAACATTGCTTCTCTTAGCTAATGATCCGACCTTCTCAATCACCCGACACTTTGTCATACTTTTATTTTATGGAGCATTTATCACTCTCTACAATTGTTGGTTGTTTGGTTGCAAGTAACAGAAAACTCTTAAGTTGGGTCAAATATTAAAGAAGACAATATAAAATCACAGCTCCATTTCTCTGATTCTTTCCATTTTTCCTCTTTGTGTTTGCTTCAGTGGTGGTTGTTTCCCCTCATGTGGTGAAATGGCTGCTCCAACAGTGGAACCCCAAAAAGAAGAGTTCCAGATAGAGCCTCATTTCATCTCAAAGGTCTGCATGGAGACACTGTGCAAGCTTAGTGACAGCTCTATGCCCCAGTCCTCAACCTAGGAGTGGAACTGGCTTTCTCTAAGCCATGTGTAAGCTGAGTTCAAGCATAGTTACCTGAAGAAAATCAGGATTATTATTCAGAGTTGGGGAGATGGGTGTTAGAGCGGTAACTATAACATTCCACTATGGTCCACCCTTTTGATGAACTAACATTCATATATGATACTCTCCTTCCTTTACATAATGATCAGAAATACCCTCCCTTTCCCCCAACCTTTCAATTCAAGTTAATGATTTTCTGGAAGATGCATCATATCATAGCATCATGTCTGAAAGTAGCTACTCATGGAATGGTAACATATGAACTAAATTCTGAAGTTCACCACCATCAGCCTAGCCAGCTGGGCCAAGAAAAACCCAAGATACTTGCATTAAGCATATCCAGAATGGGAATTCTCCACTTGGAGAAGGGGAGAATGGGAAACACATTTGGTTGTCATTGGTCAATAGTACATACAATGTTGAGGCAATAATGAGGATTCCTTATCCTGATGGTAAAGCACGTTCCTCAGCCAGACAAGATAGCAGCTCCAAGTTTTGGGTTTGAGAGTATCTCCTCCGTCGACTGCCTTGTTAACATTGAGTGGGTATGAGGTTGCTGCTTCCAAGGAGAATCATAGTTTTAACACCCAACTTCTTGTAGGTAAAAGTTCACAGACTGGCCACTTTCTTTGACAATTTAGATCCCCTAAGAATGTAATTGGTTTCTTCTATCTAAGTTCATGGGCTGGTAGTTCTAGCTGAGATACTGACCTCAGTATCTTTCATCTGGCAGCTGGCCTCTGTGTCTTGCCCACTGCTCTGCTCCTCGGATCCTCAGATGAGTGGCATATTCCTTCATCTCTGAAGTAGGGAACTACCCAAATTTGTTCCTTGTCGCCAGCTGGATCCCAACTGCATCTTCACAATAGGTCAACTATCCCCTTTCTCGATCTTGACGTCCTTAAGATGCTCGGAAGAGATGTGGTAACTGGAGCAATGCTATTCTGGAGCCCCAGTTTTTTTCTTTTGATGTCACCCAACTTGTTGCCTGTGTTTGAACTTTAACCAGAAAAATCAGCTTTTCAATCCAGCAGAACTTGCTCATCAACGTCCAGTCACTTTCCATTGCAGGCTACAGGCAGAAGGGCCCTCTCTAAGCAAAGCTGTATTTTCATCTCTCTCCACTCTCAAATAGGCCACCTTCCCCCTAAATATGTCTTCTAGGACTTTAATGAAGACTACTGGAGGTAGTCAACATCCTGAATATTTCCATATCTTTAAGTGTCATGTCTCATACTCAGAAGGTCTGTATCCCAGAATACAACACCCCTCTCCCCTAATACCAGCCATTTTCTTAACCAGGATCTCCATCTTCTAGTTGGAGTAAAGACGTCCTTGTTGCTCTCTACATGAACATCACTTCTCAGCCAACCTACATTTAAGGTTTGCTCATTGTCACATCCTCTTAGTTTATGATACAAGCAACAGAAAATCCAGAACAAACTAGCTTGCACAGTAGGCGGCTTTATTAGCAAAAGCTACCCAAAAGTCCAGAGGTAAATCACATGAAATATGATCAAGACTCCAACTTGATTTCCCTGCAACATTGTTGACTCAACCTTTCTTTACATATTGGCTCAATCCTCAGCTTGACTCTTCATGGAAATAATAGGGCTGCAGCAGGGCCTGTTATGTTTGTTTTTCCTTTCTTTAAAAATATGTTTTTATTGATTTCAGAAAGAGGAAAGGAAAGATATAGAAACATCAATGATGCCCTCTGCCCACCCACCCCCTGGGGATTGAACCTGAAACCAGGGCACATGCCCTGACTGGGAATCAAACTATGACCTCCTGGTTCATGGGTCGATGCTCAACCACTGAGCACACCAGCCAGTGAACTTGCACCATCCTCCTTCCCAAAGAAAAGCACTGTTTTTGCATAGAAGCTACCAACAAATATCTTCTTCAGTCCAAACCATCATATGCCAGGCTCTAAAACATAATCTATGGCTTAAAATAAGTGTCTTACCTCTGGTTCAGAAAGTGAGTATGTTACCTGCAAAGCGCATAGGCTGTAGAGTGGAGATGGGACACAAAATCGGGGTAGTTGTCATATTATTGCAAATAGTTACCCTATATCACAATACCGGATGAAGTTAGGAGAGCAACTCAGCATCTATCACATATCCCCAGTAGATCGTGAGGTTCCAAGGGCCATGACTGCCTCTAAAAGCCTTTGCTCCCCACTGAGCCCCAGTCTCAACAGCAATGATGACATAAATGACTGATGCATCCATTGCCTTCAAATGTCTCTCTTTCACAGTGCTGGTTTCATGCCTGTCTCCATGCTCCCAGTTCTCCTCCAGACTTTTCTGTAAAGTCCAGCTCCCCTGTAAGCCTCCTGCCCCCAGATGTTTTGTAACTTTAGATGAAATTAAACTGGATCTGGCCCTGGTTGGTGTGGTTTAGTTGGTTGAGCATCATCCCACCAAAATAATTTGGGTTCAATTTCTGGTCAAGGCACTTGATCACCAGTGGGAGCAGCTGATTGATGATGTTTCTCTCTCTCCCTCACCCTTCCTCTCTCTCTCAAAATAAAAATTTAAAACGCTTAAAATAAAAAGCAGCACTGGATCTGAAGGCACTGATTTCAGGAGTTGGGGAGTTCCTAAGGAAAGTGGTCTCAACGTGTTGGCTGATTCTAGGAAAGGATACATAAGGCAAGAGAGGTTGTCCAGGGTCCCCTGTCTCTGTGGGTCTCAAACATATGAATATGTGAGCTGCAAATACATTATTATACAAAGTCATTGATTTCTCTCTCTAGCAGCTAAATATGAAGATTGCTCTTAATTTATGAAAACATGTTAACAGGTGAACTCTGCAACACCCATCACCTTGTGGCCAATGAACCAGGATTGGTGGCTCAGCTCAGGGAGGGCAAGTAAGAGATTGGGATTTCTGAGTACGAGGAAGAGTGCAAGCACGCTGGCAGGGTTCCCCTACTCCTACTCTGCTCAGGGAAAATTCCATTCACTATCCATGTTGGTCATCTGTTAAGTTAAACAGCTCAGCCTATTATAGGAATAAATGGAAACTACAACATTGTTATCAGTTTACCAACAGCATCAAAGACAGGTAATTACTAGCAACACCTTGCATTTGTTTGCTTTTCTCACACACCTGATCTCACTTTGATCCTTGGAACACTTGGGAGGATGGGCAGTGATTTTACCCACTAACTAAAGGTATTTGCAATAATTAGGACACCTTTTTCTGAGTAAGTTATTCTAAACTATGGTACTCCCCCTAATACTTGGCAATGTTTCTGGGGACACTTTCGATCGTAACAACTGACGGAAGGGAAAGTGTGGTTGGCATCTAATGGATAGAGGTCAGGGTTGTTGCCAAACAGTCTATAATGCACACAAAAGCCCCTACCCCCAAAGAATTATCTGGCTCCCATGTCCATAGTGTCAAGGCTGCTAAACCATTGGCTACAAGTAACAGAAACCTTTATTCAAGCAGTTAAACAATAAGTACATTTCTAATCTTACATAAATAGAAATCCACTGGTGAGGTGGACACAGGATTCTGTCTGTCAGTGCTTTATATTATCAAGGACCAGTCTAGCTGCCCCCCAAGACCCCAAGATGCTGACATGGAGACTTTCAAAGCAAGGAGAGGCCATTTCTTCTTGGTGTGCCCAGAGTGTCTTCTGTAGAACTTCCCTTAGTTTTGTTTGCCAGAACCAGGCAACACGTCCACCCACAAACCAGTAGTAATGTCCACGGGAGTGGGACTCCATGGGAGTGGATGAAGTCAGCCTCATAAGCATGTGGCTGCTCAGAGAATGTAAGCTTCTGTAAGAAGTTGGAGGAGAGGGAGTTGATGCTGGGTAAATAAACAACCTAATGACCATTCCACTGTGTCTTCTAACCCTGCTCCAATATTCAGTCCATCACAACTAGTCCTTTTCAAAGTTTAATGTGTGCACAGACCACCTAGGGGTTCTTGTGTGGCTCAGTGGTTGAGCATCAACCCGTGAACCAGGAGGTCGCTGGTCGGATTCCCGGTCAGGGCACATGTCCAGGTTTAGGCTTGATCCCCAGTGGGGGGTGTGCAGGAGATAGCCGATCAATGATGTTTCTCTCTCATCAATGTTTCTATCTCTCTATCCCTCTACCTTCCTCCATCTGTCTCTCTCAAAATAAAAGCAGGTTTTGATACAGCAGGTCTGAGATGCTGCATTTCTAACAAGTTTCTGAGAAGATGCCAATGCTGAGAGCCCACAGATCGAGTAGCAAAGTGTTACATGATGCCACTCACTCTTTTTATGTTACTTTATACTT